AATTTCACACAATAACGGAACTTTCTTTGAGTTTTCCACAAATTTCGCGAAGTTTGTTGCACGAAATCATCAGCGAAAAGCTTGGTTACCACAAGTTTTGTGCAAGATGGATTCCAAAAATCTTGACAGAGGACCACAAAAATCAGCGAATGGCTGCAGCGTTTGAACTTTTTTGGACTTGGACGCTTACCATAAGGATGGTGACTCTTTACTCGATCGCATCGTTACTGGTGACGAAACATGGGTGAAACATGTGAACTGTGAAACGAAATTGCAATCAATGCAGTGGGGGTGGGGCACACAAGTTCTCCCCAAAAACCCAAGAAATGCATGCAAACAATGTCGGCAAGGAAGATGATGGCGACTGTTTTTTGGGACAGAAAAGGTGTAATTTTGGTGGACTTCCTGGAAAGAGGCACTACAATAAACTCTCAAAGGTATTGCCAAACTCTCCAAAAACTCAGAAGAGCAATTCAAAACAAGCGCAGAGGAATGTTGAGCTCTAAGATCTTGTTGATTCACGACAACGCCACGCCCGGCCCCACACGGCAAATGTCACTCGTAAAGTTCTTGAATCTTTTAAGTGGGAGTTGTTTCCTCATCCGCCGTACAGTCCCCCGACCTGGCACCGAGAGCGACTTCCACCTATTCCCAGCAATGAAGAAGTGGCTGGCTATGCAGCGTTTTGATGACGACGCACAGCTGCAAGAAGAGGTAACGAAGTGGTTGAAGGCGCAGGCGGCCGAATTTTTCGACGAAGGAATTTCCAAGCTCGTACATCGCTACGATAAATGCCTTAATTTGTATGGTGACTATGTAGAAAAGTAGTATTTGAGTGTGGCTTTCATCTGTATATAATAAAATTTGTTTCCTATACTTTGTTTATTTTTTATTCCAAAACGTAATCTACTTTCTGGATAGCCCTCGTATAATAAATATGTTAAAAAGTTTGTCTTCAATTTTAGTAAACTGTAGAAATTTTCATCACAGAGTGCATACATCTCGTATGAATTCATGAAGTTTTCTGGGAATAATATAAACTTCAGTAATTAGCAGATATATGCAGAATGTAGTATGCAATAGCATATATATACAGTGGTGGCCAAAATTGTGGACACTTTTGGAAATTTTTATGTTTTTAAACTTTGTATGCTTATAGAAAATGTTAGGTTTCGTAAAATGCAAACTTGTATATATCATTTTTAAAGAGAATTTATTACTGAATTCAATACAAAAAAACACAAATTCAATTATTTGCAATACAAAAAAAGTTATATGTACTTTAATATAAATAAAAAACACAGTTATGAAGTGGTTTGTAATGTCTAGCTTTCCTGGCCAATCACTGTTCTTGTTCTGAGAACCAATCAAATGTTAGTAACTGCCAGTAGAAGCTGAAATCATGTTTACACTTGAAACAATTCATTATTTTTTTTTTGTTCTGTAGAAGGAGGACCTGTTTCTTATACACTGCAATTACAAGTAGGAATTTTTTGGTAAAAAATTTTTAATTTTAGGAAGGTCAAGGCAATGACATCAAAATAAAAGAGTACATTGGACACCTAGAAAGAGAGATGTAATATTATTGTGTTACGAGAAAGTGGTCTTTCCTATGCTGAAATTGCAAGACAGGTGGGGGGGTTCAGTGACTACATCTGGAGTCCGAAAGTTTTGTTTACGATATCGGGAGACAAATTCAATAAAAACAAAGAAGGAAAAGGCCAAAAAAGGTGCACCACATCTATTGATGACAGAAGAATAAAAAGACTATGTTTGTTTCCAAGATAGAAAAATGTCATCAGCGGCCATCAGAAATGATCTGAATGATGCTGGTGTATCTGTCAGTTCAAGAACGATCAGGAGAAGATTAACAGATGTTGGACTGAAAGGTAGAATTCCACGAAAAAAGCCCTATCTTAATTTTTCAGCAACGATAAAAAAGACTACAGTGGGCAAAGGAACACATCAATTGGACAGATGATCAGTGATCACAAGTTATATGGAGTGATGAAACTAAGATATCGTTATTCGGTAGTGATGGGCGAAAATATGTAAGACGTAGAATAGGAGAAGAGCTACATTCCTGACTGCATTCAAGCAACTGTGAAGAACCCAGTTAGGTTATATGATTTGGTCATGCATGTCAGCAGATGGTATTGGTCGCCTTCATGTCATCAATGGGACACTGAATGCCAGAAAATAAATTGACACTATTCTAGAACCAAAACTTCTACTTTCCATCAAAGATCTCTTTTCCAACAATGCTTCATTTATTTTTCAGCAGGATTCTGCTCCTTGCCACATGGCCAAAATATCGAAAGAGTGGTTTTGTACAAAGAGCATTAAATTGCTGTCATGGCCAAAAACAGTCCTGACTTCAATCCTATCCAAAATTTGTGGCACCATTTGAAAACTCTTGTCCGAATGAGGCGCCCATCAAATAAAAGGGAACTAATTGAGGCTGTAATTGTTTCCTGGCATCATGTAATAACGAAAAAAGAGCTTAAACAACTCTTGTCAGCTCAATGAAACGTCGATGTGAAGCTGTAATCAAAAAAAAGGGGTACCCTACTAAGTACTGATAACTCACTGCAATCATCACTATCTAATATCTAATGTATATTTTTTTTATTGTTTAAAACTTTTTTGTATTTGAATTTGTGTTTTTGTAAATTCAGTAATAAATTCTCTTTAAAATGATATATACAAGTTTGCATTTTGTGAAACATAACGTTTTCTATAAGCGTACAAAATTCAAAAAGATAAAAATTTCCAAAAGTGTCCACAATTTTGACCACTGTATAATTATTGATACATCATCTGATTAATTGACATACCAGCACATAACTGCTTTGATTTTATCCACTTGAAACACTCCAAGAAATCTTCATATTTTTTCATCCTTTGGTCACATGTATGGATTGTTACTGTCTGAATGTATGTCAACAGTTAGATAGTAAGATTCTAAGAGACCAGTCAGTTGATTAGAATTTAAAAGATTTTTAATGTTTGAAGAAAATAAAACTTTTTAAAATGGAATTTTTATATGTAATTATGAAGCTTAATATAAAATTATGCGCTTTTGGTATCAAATGGTATAGTTTGGTATAGAATTAGAATATTTATGGGAAAAGCTTTGTAAGTGGAAATTTCATATCTGGAGAAAAACTGTTTGTGCAGTTTTATTTTGGAACTTCAAATGTTAAGCTTCCTAGAGAGAAAAACTTTTATGGGAACTGTTTCATAGGTTCTTCTGTACATCAAAACAGCCATAGTTTAAGTAACTCTTGGAAATAGTCCCTTGTAATATTTTATATATGTCATAGATTCCAGATTAACTAGGGTAATTCGGGGGATAATATGCATGATTAACACTAAATCGTGGTTAGTCGCTCGTAATACGGAGATAGGTCGGTTGTAAGTCGCATGGGCCGTGGAATGAATAGGAATGTAGGAGACTAGTTAATATTTAATAGAAAAATGCTATTAAGAACTTGGTTGTACTTTTCAGCAGTGTATTATAGAGAACACATCCACTTGTGTAAATTAAATCAAGCAGCACTCAAAGCAAAAAGAACATACTATAAGTAACTGAAGAAAAAATTACATTAAGGAACCTTATTTACAAGAACTTGATCAATAATATTGAGTATAAACTCGAATAAAATAGATAGAACTCTGTTTTTTGCCAGAATTTTTTAAAAATCTTTTATCTGATCTTGTGCCAGAATTTTTTAAAAATCTTTTATCTGATCTTGTGAAATGTTATCTTGTCTTTCCAAGTAAATGAAGAAACAATAATAAATCAAATTTTCTTGATATAGTGTCACCGATCACTACAATAATATTTGACAGTGAAATAATTAAAGCCAAAACTAATATAAATAATTGGCATGGTTTTTAGAAAAGTCCAAAGGAGCTATATTGAAAGTAGAAAGTATATGACAGTAGTACCCTGCTCTTTGTTTATGGATTAAATATTTCAGTTAGACTCATTGTGAAATACAAGACTAATTGGTTGCACTCTTGATTTTTTTTTTATTAAATTGCTGATTTTTATTCAATGATTTAACAATTTTTGTTGCCATATTTCCTTGCATATTTTCCCCTTTTTTAATAATTTATCATCCAGAAATCGACATTGGGAAAAAATTATGCAAATAATTTAATTTCTGAAACACTTTTAAATGACTTTTCATTTGCTGTATTCTTTATAGTAAGAGCACAGCAAATGAAAATTAATCATGGAAAAACTGCAGGTGACTATCACAGTGTTATTTCTTTAAAAGAAACCTACATTCCAATAAGAATACATAGTAATATTAACATTAAGATATATAATAAGATATCTTCATTTTTGCTTCCTTGTAACCTAAATCATGTCTATTCTTATTGCTGTCTATATCATACCTTGGACGTCAAATCATCCATAAATAATTAGAGAAGGTGATCGTGCAGCTGCCTTAGCTAAATCTTAGGCTGAATGTCAGCTTGTATTTGTTTTGGTGTGATTTTTTTATGCTTGTATTAGGCTGGCAGGAAATTAAGCAGTTAAAAAGGGAAGGTTTTCAGAAGGAAATACAGTGTATTCTGAATTATGAACAGTTAACTTCCAAATGTTGTAGCATCATTTGTTATCACTACTATTATTCCATATGCTCTCTTTTACCTGTTGGTTTCTTTTTGTCCTACCCTGACAGTTTATAATAGCAATTTTTTCATCATTCTACAACTAACAAACTGCACTTTTTTAGGTTGAGCTCCATTAGTCTGCAATCCAGTTAATTGGGAGACTGTAGTACATTAAATTTTGAAACATAACTGTTTACTTCTGGTAATGTTATAAATTTATGAATTGTCAAATGAGCAACATGAATTTATTTTAAATAAATAAATTTTTGCTGTTCATTTGTAAGCATGAAGCTTTGAAAATATTAAAAGAATTTGCTTTATTATTTTTGCATATTCTGTTATGATGAGCAATTTTTTTTTCCTTTCAGCATGTATGCATTATCAATGAAAATGGCAAAGTTAAATATGCAAAGAAATGCTGAAGAATTTTGCTTGCATTTTTTATGTGTTCATTCATTTTATTGTGTATATTTGACCCTGTCATATCGCATAACTTTATTTATGTATTGCATAATCATGTAAGTGAAGGAAGAGTTGAATGTTTTAAGCATATCAAAAGTTCTTATTGTTATGTATGTGTGGACTCTACAAAGTGTTTAATAAACTCTACAAAGTGTTTAATATTTAAATAAATTATTTTTGAAAATGTACATAATTTATTGGCATATTTCCTACATATATAATGTTTCATATAAATTTTTCTTGAAAACTAGCAGTGCATTGTAACTGTGTAGCTTTCTTTTTGTAATAACTTCCGAGTTTATATGAAATTAAGTGCAAATGATCATTTTCATGTAACTAATTCTTGAAAAATAATTTCTTTTTTATATATTACTTCTAATGTGTTCTTGTTGTGCTAGCTTTTTATAAATTTACATTAAATATTACATATAGATGAGAGAAAATCAAAATATCTGTACGAGGAAGGAAAGTAAAAAAAAAAAACAAAAAAAACAAAAAAAAATGGCTAAATTTTATAAGCTCACTGTGTAATGGAATATATATAGATTCCTATTTAAAAAAATACACTTTTAACTATGTTTAATGGAATTCTACTATATATCTTTTTACAAATTACTATGATTGATATTTTCATATATGTGGGCATATGACTTTTACGAAAATGTTATTAAAACAAATTAGAATATGATAATAAATTAATGAACTCACTTATATTATTTATTACTTATTATTCTTCATAACCTCCCTTCCCACACCCATTACTATTCTTCTCCTCATCATTTCTTATTTTATCTCTAACCATCCGTATGGCTCTTTTTTTCTCCTTTTTCACCCACCTGCCACCCTGTTCCCCTCCCTGCCCATCGTCCTGCCCCGTCCTTTTTCACCGTCCCTTTATTTTTTCCCTTTCCCCGCCGACTTTCTTCCCCTTCCGGCATTTCGTGACTTCTTCCAACCCAGAGACCAAGCCAGTAGGGCAGGGTTCCCAGTTCTTTTTCTCCCTCCCTCCTCCTCCTCACCCCCCGCTCCCGCCACTCCCTACCCCCGTACCTCTTGAAACAAAATTGGATGATGTGAATGATGTGGTCTCACAATGAATTTTCATTAATTAAAATTTGCATGGGAACTAATTACTATTAAATAACACTACTATTAAACATTTTGTTTGTGATAGTTTTTTTTTTTTTTTTTTATTTTTTCCTTTTTGTCTTGTAGTCCCTTATAATCTTTTCTTTTGTCGTATACTATCTTACCGCGTAACATACCCTTTTCTCACACCTTTGCCCTCCCTCCTTTTCCCCTTCACTCCCTCTTCACAAACTTCAAAACTGGCTAATGTAACTCTTAATTAATTTAAACAAACAAACAAAACAAAACAACAACCAAAAAAAAAAAAAAAAAAAAAAAACTATTTTTTAACCTCCCATTTTCATCATCCTGTTTCTCTGTTATCTGTTAAAACAAATTTATATTATTATCAAAAGTAATGCCAGGTTTTGACATCTGTTCTTTTACTTTACAACTATTTTAATCCTTTGTTTAATACCCCTCTGTTAAAAAAGTTTCTGGAAAAGTCATGTCATTTGCATGGAACTTACAGTAATTAAATTTTGTTGCTAAAAGCCATTAGTATACTCTCTATAGAAGAAATGCATGAAGTGACATTATCTAAGACAGCATAATTCGTGTTGCAGGGCAAAATAGTCACTTTTTAAGCAGAGAAGCTAAGGTGTCTTTCATGAGAAACAGATCCTTGTGTATCATAGCCATTTTATTTCCAAATTTGTCTTCTGACCCTGCTATTGCCTTATTTCAAGATGATTTTTTGAGCAAGTGTCACCTTGATTGGTTATTGTGATTTGCAATACTTGCTGCCATATTATTAGGCTCAGTTTAGAATATTAGAAAAGGCAGGCAAATTTGTAAATATAAAATGTCTTTGTAGCAAGTTTGTAGCAAGTTTGTCCTTTAAACTGTCATTGAGCAGAAAGTTACCTCGACAGTTTGATGGTACAGGAAGAGAGGTAGGAGACCTTTAGATCCATCCACTAATGTGTTCAATTAAAACATGATGAAGCTGGGCAAACTCATCCAAAGCTGTTGCCAATAACAGGAGCTACATTTTGTCTCTTGACCGTAATAAAATTTGTGAAATTAATGTGTCTACTGAGTTCAGATCAGCAGGTTTAGTACCAACATAAACTACATTATCATGCTATTTGAAATGGCATGATAGCTAGTTTATGACAGTTATGAAAAGAGGTATTTTGCAATTGCTTCCAGGAATATCAGGAATATTAAATGAATGTGCTGTTTGGATGGATGTTATTTGAATGTGACTAGGTACTAATTTTTAACATTTCTAAGTTCCCGTATGATACAGATATGGGATCTACTCAACTTATTAAGAGAACTGGTTTATTTCACTAAATGAGCAAATGACAGTTCAACAAAAAGCAGTAACTGCTGTACAGTTCACCTTCCACCCTGCTGGTAGAAGGTTAATTATGCTGACTGCCGTACCATTGGGCCAAAAATCAAATCCCAGAGAAGATATAGATATTTCTAAGCATATATTGTCTTGCAACAAGGAAGTACTAAAAAAATACACAGTGAGCTGAAAGTCCTCTCAGGCAGCTGCTGCTAAGAAAAGAGGTGTGGGAAACTCTTGGACTGCCCCTCAGAGTGTTCCCCTTCAGAAATAGAGGCAGAACTGCTTAGTGCAGCAGAAATATAACTATATGACCAGTAGTGAAATTCTGGTGTCTTGCCTATGTTTACTTGTATCTGTGGAGTACACCCAGTGAGAGCATTCGTAGGAAGCTTGTCAGATAGATTTGATTCCTTTTTAAGGGAGAAGGAAAAAAAATTCTATTCTCTGATATAAAACTGAGTTTGATTTGTATTATTTCCTAGCTTTTTGAACATTTTTTATTCCAGAATTTAATTGTTAGTTCTATGTATGAAGGAAGTTTTAGGAATCTCAAAACTACATTTGAAAGAAATTCAGTCTTTTGAGTGAGTGATTCAATTCAGTCACTTCTAAATCCCACTCTTTGTTGGACTATTTCAACTCTTTGCTTCATCCTCACACACTGCTCTTGATTTACTCTCTGCTTCTGTCTTATTTATCAAGTTCAGTGAGCAAATGGTTCTGATCTGATGTCATAAAAGAGCAGTTTTATTCACCTCTATCCTATACACATTTTCTGCAAGCTTTGTTAACATAGGAATGTGTTTACAAACTGATATGTTTTTAAGAATACTCAATATTTGTTCTTTTAATTTATAGAAATTGTTTGCTTTAGTTAATTTGATAAATAAATTAATGTATAAAATTCATTACCTTTCTAATTTAAATATATTTAAGAACGGTAATTTTTTTTTTTTGCATGATTTTTAATTTTAAGCATTCCATTTTGTTAACAATGCCTGTAAATCTGATGAGCTTTTGCAAGATTATACTTTTGTAATTTATCATTTATAAGCTTGTGAAAGTGCAGTCCTCACCGTCCATTTGCCCTTTTAGTTGCTGCGTAAATTTCATATTACATTTAATTTTGCTTTCTTCATAGATGTAGTAGATGTTTTGCAGGAATTTTCTGAAAAAAAAATTCTTATGAAAGTGTAGTCTGACAATTATCAAAGTATAGTAAATCTGCTTGTATGAAATGATCCATGTGCATAAATACTTTTCTGTACTAATAGTGAATGAATGGATATAAATGATAATTAGTACCAATATGAAATTAGGGTATAAGATGGAAGCAATTATTTCCTCTTCTGCAGTATCAAAGACTACATAATAAATACTAGTACTAACATTAAGACATACTGCTTATTTTTGTAGCTGTAACATAACATGGTCATGCATAAAGAATGTGAACTTCTTAAAACATAATTTGATATACTAATTAGATTTTCCTTAACAGCTTACCATATCTAACTATTTAATTGGAAAATTAATATGCATAAGTTTGTGTTTTGATTTACATTTTTGCTATTGTGAAGAGCATGATAAATACTATATTTGTATTTTACTCGATATTTTCTTCATTTTAAAATAGTCACATTGCACTTAGTTTAAAGATACAAATTTCAGTCTTGAGTTCCTCTGAAACTGTTGAATAGCATTAATGCAAAAAAGATTTATTTTAATGCTGTGGATATAAAAATGAATAGAAATCTTTTAGATTTATGTGAAAATTCTGAAAGTAAGATGAACATATTTTACTGTTCTAAAGACTATGTTAATGTATGTCTGTTTTTTTTTTTTTTTTTTTTTTTTTTTTTTTTTTTTTAAATTTCATATTAGCATATACTGTTTCAGCTATTTATTATGCTGTAAAATATTTCAATTTAAATATAAATGCATTAGTTTAAAAATACCTCTGAATTTTGTCTCAAATTTATTACCTGTATTGCATTAGGAAACATTTGAAGTTATTACTACGTCATGTAGTAAATGCGAAGGAACAGTTGATAAGTTAAAGGCTTATTATTTCAGTTTTACTTACGTAGTCTAATAGAGATGATTTAATTATTTATATTTTATTTTCAGAATCATATTTTTCTCTGGTCATTTTCTGACCGGTGTAACAATTAGACAAATAACTTCAAAATACACTGTCTTTCATATTTCTGTGTATCACTTTTAAATTCTGTATTGAAAGATTCCCTGAAATGTATGGAAAATAACCGTTCATCCTTTAATACAAGATCATATCAGAGAAGCAATATTTTATACTTCTGAAAATCTTTTTCCGGAAATGAAAACACAACTATTTTTATTTTTTTCATGCTACTTGCAAAATCCTTGCTTTTATTAAATTCATTTTATAACTGATGTGATACAGTTTGTGATAAACTTTGTTTATTACGTCTAGAATACTGTATATTGATTTTATTAGTTTTGCTTAATGCAGTAGTACCATTAATCTTTCCATATATGTTTCATGGTTTTTTTTTTTTTTTTTTTTTTTTTTTTTTTTCCAAATTTAGAATAATAAATTTTTTTAGTTAGTATACTTGAGAATAATTTCTTGTTGAATATAAAACCCTTCTTACATTTTAAGATAAATTTTAAGAAATAAAAATGTAACTGAATAATTATTTTTGTCTTACAAGTAATTCTGATAAAGATAATCCTTCTCAGTGTTTTTTCCTCTTCCTTCACAATTTCCAACAGTATCATAAACTGTGGTATAAGGATATTGTTAATGATATATATATTTCGTCTGTTTTCGAACATACCAGGGATCAATGCAGTAGATTCAACCTTAAATTCAAATCATCATTTAGCTAGGTGTAACTATTATAATTAATAGTTATGCAGTTTATATATATGATAATTACCAGTGTGGTTTATTTAGTGTTTAAACTGTGCAATTATTCTTTGTAGTATAATAATTAAAAGTCATTCTACAGTTTTATTTGTCAAAGTAACTATTAAGAACCTACCAAATTTTAGATTAAAAAATTTATCAAAAAGGTGAATCTAATTTGCAAGTAAATATGATTAATACTTAGGCTCAAAATAGGGTATCTGCTGAAAATTTCAATTGTGTTTTATCTTCATAAATAAATCTACAAGACAGAGAATGTGATATTTTGAATGTGTTCAGAAGTGGTATTTAGATAATGATGATAATGATGTTTGTTTACTTATTTATACATTTGTCTTATTTATTTTGAATTAAAAGCAGAACTTTGGAAATCATGTGTTCTCATTTCGGAGAAATAATAGTCATTATCATGTGCATTGAAATTCCAAATCCAGCATAATTTTCATTTAAATTTTTTGAACCTTAATATTTTTTAAATTTCTTTTTGTTCACTAATTTATATCAAATTGACACCCAAAAGAGTTATTTTATATGTTATCCCATATCTAGATTACTTTCCTTAGCTATTAATAAGCAATTGTTTTGGCATAAAACTGATTTTAACTGGGTTTTTTTTGGGGGGGGCTACGTGTGTGTGCACGCTCGAGTAGCTGCAATAGCTTTTTCAATACTTGTTATTAATCAAGCGGTTAAATAGTTTTTAGAAAATTATTGCATTGTCCCTTAAAATTATGTAGTTATATAGCATTTATATTCCTTTGAAGTGCTTTTAATTTCTTCTAGTAAAAATGTAATGCAAACAAAAGGGAATAAATCAAAATATTTTTAAACTGCAGGCAACTTTAATGTATAGTTCCTGCAGAAATTTAAAGTAAAAAAAATTTAAAAAATTACATTTCTATACTCATAAGATCTGATTTCTGTGATTAAACATGTAGTTAAACACTTTTTTACAGTTATTTTGATGCGATAGTTTAAGAACTGAAAATAAGGAAAGTTTTTTTATTTCTGTGAAAACTAGAAAATGCTTTTGCATTTTAAAAATATGCATGTGTATTTTATTTTGACTATTTATTTTTAAATTAAAATTATATATAATTCATTCAGTGAATTGGATACAGTGTTACTTTTGACCTCGTTAATGTATTGGTTATCGAGCTATATATATTAATTAAATTGCTTTTCATTGATATTTTGGTTTCAAATTTGTATTCATTGTGTGTGTGATAGTAATTTTTTGTATTATGAGATTTTACAAATGCTTTTGATGTATCAGAAAAGTATTTTATTTTGTTCTTATTTAAAAGAAGTATTTTTGTTGAATCTGAACTATCATCTGTGATTTACATACTGTAATACTGACTTTTATTAAGAAATGCATTTTAAAATGAATTTCTTTTGTTCAAAGTATCATATGAATTACTCTCAAAGAGTCATGAAATTCTGTTATATGTGTGGTCTTGCATTTTTCATGAGTTTCTTACTTTCATTTTGTTTTAAACATGCTTAGTTTTGTGTTCATTTGACAGAATTCTATTTTTAGCTGTTAAATTGTCAATAAAACTTTGTCATCCATATAATTTCCATTTTTTTATTAGCATTAATTTTTCCTTTCACCATGAAATTTTATCAGACTTTTATATTTTGATTAGTTAATGCAGCAAGTCTCTTGAGGGCTGTCACCTTTGGAGGACTTTGCAAAGAAAATTAGCTTGCATTCATATAATTTATCAAATTAAGGACACCGGATTTTCTAGGCGACCAGATACAGTCAAATGCAGTCCTGTTAGTTTACCATTAGGACCATATTTAACAGTTTATCACATAGATTTTTTTATAGTGATTATGGAATTATTTTGCAGCCACCTAGTAGACAAGCAAGATCCTAAATTAAAATAGTATCATATTGGTCACTTTTAAATTTGCTGTCCATTAACCAATAAGTATAGGGGAAAACCATGGAAACCTAATTTAGTCAACCTTCACTCTTACTGAGAGCCATACTCTGGATAAAAAAAGTGTTCAATAATCTTATATATGCGGCTATTTGTAAGGCTTACATCTATTTCTTTTGACTTATTAAGTCATTTTTAAGGCTTAAACCTCTGTAAGCATAAGTGTTTTAGTCTATTTGATACAATCTAATAGATTAAAACACTTAAATGTGAAATATGCTCCGACAGCTTTAAAAAATAATCAAAATTCTGCTAGATTGTTTGATAGTATTATTAGGCTTATTGTTGCAATGGAAACCTTCATTTGGCAGCAGCTGGCACTTTGAGCTGAACTTGAAATTATTTGTATTATCTATGTGCATTATTTAAATTTTAATCTCTTGATTGTCTAAAAATGGACATTAAGAATCCCCTCTTTTTTCCCTCTTTATTTATTATCCACATGGGAGAGCATAAAATAAAATGCCATTATTGTACACAGAATGATTTATATATGTTGTGTGTAGTTGCATAAGTATTGTGGTGGTAAACTTCCATTTGATTTATCATAATGTTTTTGCTCATCCAAATATTAGGAAAGCGCAAACCAGATCATTAAGGAGAAAAAGATAACCCTTGTACATCTAATTTATTAAATAGTGTAGATCTGGTATAATTATGTACCAGATCATTAAGGGGAAAAAGTTATCACTTGTACATAATCCCTGCATATAACAGAATAATTGTATATATAAAAATTATTACCTGTTTCAAATTTGCTTTCGATATTTGCCTAAAAATGATCCAAAATCTTAAAATTGTTATGGTCTCTATTTTTTAATGCAATTTCTGCTCTACATTTCTTTAACTCTCAGTAAAATTTTTGGATTAATAACTTTGGATTGTAATCTTATAGGGTTCCAACCTTGGATATACAGCTATGTGTGTGGAACCTCGAGAATTGGTAAGCGACTAATCGCTTTAGCTCAGGAAACAGAAACATAAACTTAAGAAGAGTTAATTACCCTTTATTGCTCAAATAAAGATTAACAGACGGCTCCTTTCTCAGGACCTACAGAAAAGCCTCCACTTGGACTTAAACTCATATTACTAAGAAAACCAAACTTAACTAATGCTTAGCTAAAAAGGTATAGCCGGAGCTATCAAAATTCTAAAGGAGTTGGCCCCTAAAATATTTATTAAACGGCGAAGCTTTCAATGGCCTGTAATACGGCCGAGCATAGTAATAGCTTAGAGAGAGTGTAGCCAAAAGGCAAATGCGTGCTAGTCAGAATCTCTAGCTGTCTAACCAAGTCAGAGGAAATTCGACTTAAGTACCGTTCTTCCTACATTTGCAGGCCCACCAGCGGCCGAGCGGTAAAGTCGCTGAACACTGGTAGTTCGGTCCGAGGTTCGAATCCCGCGAACGGGCTGGCTGCATGGGCGTTTTCGTGGTTTTCCCCATGTGTAACGTGTATACGAGCCAGTTTCCCCTTAGAAAGTCCTCCACGAAGGCATCCCTCCCTTAGGCAGATAGCCCTCGTGTGCTTTGCCATAATTAATACACCAACACCTTCCTACATTTGCATTAACCGCGATTCTAAAAACACACTCTGGCAGGAAATTTGTAAGCTGAAATTAGAAGGGACAGGAAAGTAGCTTTAACTAAAGATAACTGTTAAAAACTTAGGATAAACCTTACGAGCTTATCTCGAAAAACAGCGACTTTAAAGAGTCGAAGCCATCAATAAAAATCTAACATCGCAGTCAAAGATTAGCCAGTTTAAAATCTACTCCATAGCTCTATTACAATTTGTACTGATACAAATTGTAATTGATGAACTAATGTTAATAGAAGTTGTCGGTATCCATTGATGTATGCAGGTTCTATTATTAATCTGGTTTAAAAATAAGAAAAAAACTTCGTTACCTTTGTACAGGACTGTAATACGGCCGAGCATACAGGTGGTGTGGTGTATTTAATTATGGCAAAGCACACTAGGGCTATCTGCCTAAGGGGAGGGATGCCTTTGTGGAGGACTTTCTAAGGGAAACTGGCTCGTATACACATTACACATGGGGAAAACCACGAAAGCACCCATGCAGCCAGCCCGTTCGCGGGATTCGAACCTCGGACTGAACTACCAGTGTTCAGCGACTTTACCGCTCGGTCGCTGGTGGGTCCGAGCATACAGGACAGGGACTTGTGTACAGGGACTGGAAACATGATGTCTCAGCTTAGAAAAGAACCTTCTCCACGGAAACACAATTTATTTTTCGACACCACATTTTGATTCGCACATTCCATTAAACATTGAAAGGGAAAACAAATATTTAATAGCTCTTTCATAAGTGTTACATCTTCTGTCTATTTCTTATTTTTGCCTGTAAAATTAATTAATGGGTCAGAAAGCCTAACTCTGCTCTTTTCTTACGCGGCCATACTGACTGGCACAAACCCAAATTGTAATTAACTGTAGCTGTTAAGTCAAGAAAGGATTTAAAGGGCAAGAAAGGATTTAAACTGATTAAAATTTAAAGAGCAAAATTTACACTGTTTACACATTTTAAATGCTTGTAACTTCTTTAAAAATTATAATATTTCAACTCGGTTTTTTGCATATGATGTATGCGGAATATTACGAGAGTAAAAATAAAATTCAATATTTTGGTTGATTTTTAGCTATTTATAGTCCCCAGTTCCCTTAAATACTTTTTATTGCGTTTCTGTTTATTTTCTGTATTGAAATACTGTAATTGTTTTACTTTGTTATTTGTTGCTTTTAGGGTAATATAGCTTTAGATTTTATTTTGTAAGTAGTTAATTTTGGATCGTATGCTTTGTATATAAGTGTATAAGGATTTATTTATTTTTAACTAGCCAGTTATTTTATGTTCAGTAGATTTTCTATTATTGTCGCTTTCCGTTTTTCTAGCAGACTGCTAATTTTAGTTCGCGCGTATTCAAATGAGATAGAAAGAAATGGTATTTAAAGGAAGGTTTTATATTGTTGAATCAGCGTGTGTTCTTTGGAAGTCCACGCTACTAACTGAATCTCTTGACAGCAGTATGTCTGTGGAGTTGCGTTATTCCCGCCATTAGGCTTGCCGCTCCGTTATTATATTTGAGCCAACTTGCGAGTATTATCTCTGTGTATCCTTTGGGCTAATTTATAATTTTCTTAGTTTAATTTTGAATTCATTGGAATTCATTGTTTTGTTCAATGAATTCATTGTTTTGTAAATGCTGGCTGGTTCTGTAAGCACAAGCAGTGCCTTCTGTTAATCTACCGAGTTTAATAAAACCGTCTTTTAAACCCTTAGCACGTCTCTGTTATAATTTCCAAGATACCGATAATGACACCGATAAGTGGTTTATATATATATAGAACTTTAGATCTTTAAATATTGAGTCTGACAACCATTGAATTGTGAGCATTGCTCTGCAGAGTGCAATATATGGGCAAATAGGTAAATTTAAACACATAGGTAAATTTAAAATTTAAATACTTTTGATTCATAATAATGCATATAGATATAAGTAAAGATAAACTACATTTCAACAGGCCAGTGCGTGATCACATGGTTTACGCAATGTTCAAACTTTTTTCTTATCCCATCATACTGCACTGTTACTCTAGCCTGCCCATTCTCCAGATTTATTGCCCATCGAACATGTCTGGTCAAAATAATTGAAGAACGCCTAGTCCGGTATGCTGCACCGCAGTATACTAGGTGAACTTTACTTACGTGTGAAGATAGAATTAGCTGCCATTCAGCAACGCCACATCCAAAACCTCAGAATTAGCTGCCATTCAGCAACGCCACATCCAAAACCTCTTTCTCAAACGTTGAGGCAACACTCATTACTAATTTTCTCGTCTTCCTCACTTCAAAGAAGGCTGTATTTCAAATTAATTAATATTGATACTATGTACAATCTCTGAAATTTATTTGACTTTGATATATCTTATCCTTCTTCGTACTGCATTTTGGATGGCTAGCAGTGTATTATACAGAAAAAAACTGGCGCCTTTGCTTTACGCACACCAGGTGATTAGATCTCACCAGCTGGAAACAGAACGATAGAAGTTTTGAAAGAATCGTAATAAAAGCGTCATATTTGACATAATTCTCGAATTGAGACCAGAGCCTTATTAAGAAATTTTTCGATCCTCTATACTGTTACGAATTTCGTATTTAGTTAGAAATTTTTAGCAGAATTATAATTTAAGTTATTTTATTTTCTGGTGCAATGCAGCACCAGACATATTTTAAGAGAAAGCTACGCAGGAAAAGTAAAAATACATGAGCACATGCATTTAACATTGAATGAAAATTTATCTCAGTAATTTATATTTAATTTGAATAAATTTCATTGACTTCTATGTTAGCTGTAACCGTAATTCTACTCTTTTTGCTTTCCAGAAATTGCTAGAACCGTCTCGCGCGCCCGATTTAAAAATCTATAAAAGGCCAGACAGAGAACATCTCATCTCAGTTGTTTACTTAGCTACTGTAATTCTTGTTGATCGGATAAGCTTTCTCTACGTTGTGGAATTGCGGTATATTTAACGTTTTAGTAGTTTAAAGTATAGCTGATGATTATATTACGTGATATTGCGATATTGTACGAATATCTTTGAAGAAAAATCCAGCGTTCTGTTATATTTCTTTTGATAGAATAAATTTTATTAACCTTTTATTGGACTTGTGCATTCAATCTATTACGAACCCGTACGCACGCATATTCTTTCGTGAGTCCCCAACGATAATTGTTCTTAAGGAAATAAACAATATATTTCTAAGTTTATAATACGTAATAAATACGCACTAAAAGTACTTTTTTTTTTTTTTTTTTTTTCTTTGTATGACATTTACAATGGGAACTCTGTGCTTTAGAGATCTTTGGATAGTAAACTGAAATTACTAATTTTCGGACGTCTTGCAATTTTAGAAGTTAGGAAGTTATTCGGGTTGACTGGTAGTTTATTATGAGCTATTCAAGAAGCTAATTCAAAAAAGAACTTTGCAGTGCAGCAAATAAAATCGAGCAGACGAAATTCATGATTATTTTTCTAATTTGATTTTGTTGGGAAGGGCAATGATATAAGCTAGAAAGAAGGGACTGCATGTGCTCTATCTTACTACGAAAAAAGAAGTAAGGAAAGCAATTTTTATAATTAAGTTGGTATATTATTCATCCGCTGACAAATTAAAATGATTCGGCTTCAACGATGTTCAGTACTGAAAGCTCGAAGTTGAGACCTTACATTTTCTGACACCATTCAATAAAATAATTTTCTAAGTGTTAAATAATCTACATATTACATTTACAAATTCTATTAAACTATATTCTATAAAATTACTTTGAAAATATTTAATTTACATTTTTAATCCTGAATTTAAAATATTTATATTTCATTTGCATTTGTCGTGATTCAAAATGATGTACTCGTATTTAAAGTGAGAACGTTATTTACTCAATCACATTAAAGATGCTTAGTTTTGCTTTCAAAATCATAAATTTAGAGCATACTATATTTATATTAATAAGGTTAAATAATGATATGCTTTAATGTGTGAATCAAAAAGTAATCATTTCGGTATTCCGTGAAGAATAATAATCTGCTTCAAGACTGCTAATTAACTCTTTCCCAAATTAAATCTTGTAGAAACAATCAAGACTTCTGGTTCTAGAAGACAAATTACGTTGAGGAAATTCCAAAGGGATTTAACACCTGATTGAACAAGCAGAAGATAACAGACTTGTTAGGCGAAAAGGATTGTTTTTATGTTTTCCTAATTTTTTTTATATTTTTCCGACTTAACGGCAGTTGATTTAAGTTAGCAAGACACATCTATTTTGTTTCGAATATATATAAAGATGTGAAGTTTATTCGATTTTTCAGTAATTAATTAAATTAATTAATTTGATTTACTTTCAGTTTACAGTGAATTCTAAGTATTAACTAAGGAATTAATCCGTATTGATTAATGAATGTTTGGAAGTATAAAATACTTTCATTTAATTCATAGATTTTTCATTAAACATCTAAAACACTAAAAGTGCTAATTAATGAAACCTTACAATAAAAAGACGTGAGGTGTTACTGGTAAATAATTATATTAGCTTTTGTAATGGCAAGAGTTACAACCATGAAAAAATAAATTTAGAAGTCCAATTCAACTATTATACATTTCGGGAAAACTAGAAGATTTCCAGAACATTGTTTTCTACAGGAATACCAATATAAATTTATATTTTCAATATTTGAATAGACGTAAACAGTAGGATTTCTTTTCTCTCTAGCAAGAAACTTTTTACATTCACATTCCAAGGATTTTGTCTATTCAAGGGATTTTGTTTCCTAGGATTTCGTTTTCCCTGGTTAGAGGAAAAGTGACATTACTGCCTTTTACGATTTTTCCTTTTGCTCATTCTTATGATACTTATAGCGCTCGCTTTTTAATTTCGTGATTTGGTGCTATGGAATTTCCGTCTTTTTTTCCTTGTATAAAGTAAATCTGAGCAAATGTCTGTTGTAAAATTCTTCACGAAAGCATTCCTTTTCTTTGGAGACAGCCCTCAAGATATTTTCGATAATTAAATTACAAGGACTATCCTTTATGGCTGCCAGTAATTTACAATTTAATCGGTAAACATTTCAACATTTTGAGCGACTGATTATTATTTTGTAATTTTACTTCTAAAAATAATAAAAAGAGTAAAATTATAACTACACTTTTATTAATGATTAGAATCCTATCAGTTGCAATAAAACCGAAAAATGATTGGCTGCTAAAACAAACTACACTACTGCTCACCAGACAGGTTATTAACATAAAATTTATAAACAAAATTTGTGAACAGCTAGTAAATACTGTTTATACCATACCCTTGTCAAAATTCGAATTCTGGAAAAATAATTTAAGTATGGTACAAAGAATTATTGTTTCTCCTAAGTGTTCCTTAGCAGCATATCCAGTTAGCCATGGAGGATCTCGAGTTCAGCTCATAAGTTTTCAAGATTTTAGTTCGCAAATGATCTAATTAGTACT